ACGATACACTCTGTCCGCTCTCATCCCGATTGTTTCATCCACAGGTACGTTGGTAAACAGTGATTCTACGTCCAACGAGGCTCTTATCCCTGTGGCCCGTGTTCCCCGCAGTAAATCAACAAATTCCTCTGGAGACTTCAGGCTAAAGGCGCAAGGGACATAAGCTATTGAGTCGCTTCGCCAGTCTGTACGTGGGTGTGGGTATCTGGCTGATGATTGGCCGAAGTGGGTTTCCAGGCTTGTGTGTCTTGACATTTCCATATGCGTATCCAGGTTTGTATTCTCCAATAAACTTTGGCAGGTGGAGTCCGGATTTCTTGCCGTTCACAGTTTTGATCAATTTGTTGACCTTTGCTTTCAATTCGGCTGTAGTGTCCTTCGTTACCCTTTGGAATTTTGTTTGGTCAGAGAGTATGTGGTTCATTTTCGCCAGATATTCGTCTTTCTTAAGAATGACGTATATTGGCGACTTGTCACCTCTCCTGACGACTATCTCCTTGTTCTCACGAAGGCTCTTAGCTGCCGCTTTGAGCTCGGGGGACAGTATGGTGCTTCTGTAGTTGCCTCGATTCTTTCCTCCTTCTGCAATAAGTTCTGCTTGTAAGGTATCTTTGGTGGTGACCTTCTTTTGTGCTTCGAGGTCGAATATGTCGTCCAACAGCATCTCCAACTCCACTTTCCCACAACCAGACCATCACCAGAGAAGTCTTAACAAAAAACACGGAAATCATCGATAGATACAGCGATAGCAGGCGGCTTGATATCTGCGTGGCACTACACATTAAGAAGTCAACACCAGCAAACAACAGCCAATTAATGCACAACTATACTCAACCCACTTCAAGACTCCGCACCAATATAGAAGCATCAACAAATATGGGCCAATAGGCCCTTTGCAGTTACTTCCATTCTTCCCTTTAACTTACCCAATATTATACCCATTGTTTCGTGTTCTGTCTTGTGTTGATAGTTTGTTTTCACCTCATCCAAAACTGTTGTAACATATCATCTCACCCAAATGCAGGTATAAAATGAAAGCTGTTTAAACTCTGTTTAGTGTTTGCAGGTTATAGTTGTGTGTGTGTAAACTAAAGTCTTTGAAAATGTGATAAGTTAATTCGAAACGCATTCAAGTGTCGCGTCAGACTTGAAATAAAAATGAATTTTGGAGAATTGATTTTTCAATTACCATCGACAGTGAATATATATATATATATATATATATATATATATATATATATATATATATATATATATATATATATATATATATATATATATATATATATTTAGTCTCATAATTTGCATTAAAGTTACTAATAATGCGCAGCATTTAATGGGCTATCACCTCATTATGTCGGTCGTGATGGTCAAGTGGATTAAGGCGTCTTGTACATACCAGTTGCGTTGCTTCTGGGAGTATGGGTTCGAGTCACTTCTGGGGTGTGAGTTTCAGTTGCATATTGTCCTGGGGACCATTCAGGCTTGTTCGCATTTGTGTTCCTCACGTGTGCCCCAAAGAATGAGGTGATTTGGTAAAATACTATGCCCAAGATTACTATCCGAGTGCCGGCGGTGGGGTGGTTCAAATAGCCTCGGCTATCACCTCATTATGTCCGGTCGTGATGGTCAAGTGGATTAAGGCGTCTTGTACATACCAGTTGCGTTGCTTCTGGGAGTATGGGTTCGAGTCACTTCTGGGGTGTGAGTTTTCAGTTGCATATTGTCCTGGGGACCATTCAGGCTTGTTCGCATTTGTGTTCCTCACGTGTGCCCCAAAGAATGAGGTGATTTGGTAAAATGCTATGCCCAAGATTACTATCCGAGTGCCGGCGGTGGGTTTTATGACGCAAAAGGTTTCACTGTTCATTAGGTTCTATTGCCATACTTATAAGGAACCGTGCATGACATAAAGGTCATTGACTCACTGCAGGCTATGAGTCACAATAACGTAGCTGAAGTATGTTGGCAAGTCCACACACTAGAAAATGAAGGGACGCCGAAATGACGAAACATAAATGTTTTGTCGTCGTCATTCTTAAGACAATCGACTTGAGAATGGTCCAGGGTTTACCGAAATTTCGTTGTCCCTTCATTTTCTAGTGTGTGGATTGGTCAACATTGACTCGCTGCTCATAAGAGTTCCAGTGTTCTGGGAACCCTTCGGTAGAATAAATGCAAATTTACTTAAAGCAATATATATATTGATAACCATATTAAACCTATGGCTAGAAACCTCCCTAAGGCAGAGATCAATAAATCTCAGTTTACATTTCTTAGAGCGACGTCCATATATACGCTTTGTATAACGTCCGAATCACACACCGGACAATAAAGAAACGACAGCGTTTCGGTTCGTCCTGGATAATTACATTTGTAATTGTGTGATCTGACGTAGCTTTGCCCCGTCTAGACTTTCTTTCCTGTCTCTCTCTTTCATTACTAGATTTTTTCTCTTCGTTATCAAGTTATCGTTGCAGTTTTCTTCTCTTTTATTATTTTTACCTTTCTGTTTTTAAAACTTTTGCTTATTCATACTTCATTTTCTATTCTTTCCCGTCTTCCTTCCCTTCCCTTCCCTTCCTTTCCATCTAATCTTTCCTTTACTCTACCTATTGTCTTTATTCTTACTTTTTCTCTTTTCTAACCTTGTTCTCGTATTCTTTCCTTTCTTCCTAGTTTTCTTTCAACTTATTCTTACCTTTTATCTTATTATTTCCTTCCTTCTCCTTCATTCATCGCACCTTTCATCTCATTCTCTTCCCTCATATTGTCTATCTCTTTCCATCACACGACTTGATAATGCAGACCGAAACGTCGTCGTCTCTGCCTGTTGTGATGTGTTATTTGGTCATCATATTCAGCCACGTTATTGTGACTCATCATCTAAATACGTTTTGTATTACTGAATTAACCGAAATGTGATTCCAATAAATCAGAAATGTAGCTAAAGGACCTAACCTAACATCTGCAAGTAATGTTACATGCTATGTTACACATAATATAGTACCTATACGTACTATTTTAGGTCTAAGAATATTTAATTTTGAGTTTACTTTTTCTCGGACTCTATCAAACTAATGTTTCAAAACGTGAAAATGTTTAGGTCCAACAGTATACTCTGGTACGTTCGACCAAACAGTGTATTTGGTTCAGTGAGTATTATCGAAGAAGTATTGTGTTCAGAATATTGTATACAACACCTTGAGAAAGGATGTAGGTTTCATATGAAAATTTGGTTTGTAATAGAATTACTCATATATTGGGTCTTTCCTTTACCTTCATTCAAGCACTACGGCAATGTAGTAAGTTTCACCATAAGTATTATAATTTTAGCAGAATGGGTTGCCAAGTATAAGAAATATTTTCACATGGGGATAAAAACCAGGTGTTAAAAATATCTACTAAAAAAATAATTAAATAATAAATTTCAGTGTGGAAAAAATTATTTTTAATCTTAATTAATATATCTAATCTAAATGTTAATCTAAAAATATAAATAAGGGAACACTAACTAGAAAATTTTGATGCAATCTTGTGGAATAAGTTACAGTGAAACGTCAGAGACAAAGACACTGGAATGTTTCAAGTCTTTGTGAGACAAATATATGACCTTTAGTTGTTTGAAATAAATAAGAGCTGCCAGGCATGGTCCTTCAATCTTATGTTCATACATTTGGATGAGAAGAATTGCATTCTCTGTGTGGCTTGAAATGACATATGAATTTAGCTTACCCAAAATGGGGGACAGGAATCCTTTCAGTATTACTGAGGGCCCTTGTTACGGACCCGAGTCCAGTGTCCGAGCACGGAGGAGTGACGACAACGCCATCTGTGAGTCTGCTCCTGAAACCCCCTCCAAATGGACAGCGCCATCTAATGAGGATGGGATATACCGGCCACAGGTGCTGGATTCCCGTCTTGATCAGCTCATAACATAGCCGCTGCTGACCTCTGGTGAGGTGGCGCTTAGACAGCAACGCCATCTATGGAGTGGATAGGTGGACGTTTGTGTCAGCCTGTCAGTGAGGTTCCTTAGTCCCATTATTAATGACGTGTCTGATTACAGAGTCGACCTGGGACTGCTGTATTGGACGATGGGGCAGTCTACCCAAGGCAGCCAAGGTCTCTTCATGAGTTTGCTCTGCAGAAGCTGTGAGTCACCCCTGGACGAACACTGTTGAGAGTGTTAGCCTGCCTGTGACGTGGCAGTACCAGGAATCGTCCTATCCGGGGCTGGCTGCTGGAAGAGACTAGCCACTGTGGTGCTGAGAGAGGAGAGTGATCAGCGGAATCACACGAGGCTCCTGCCTAGGGCTCGCAACCCTAGTATCGGTCGTGGAGTGGCCTACACAGCGTAGCTGATCGGAACCTTCCAGCTACAGGCTGGATTTGTAGTTGAAGGACTCCACGACAGAGCACCCAGTGGGACTGTGATTTGGCTGGCCTGTGGCCAGGGTAGATTCGCCTAGAGAAGCCAAGAGGATTCAGCGTGGGCCACGAAGAAGGGAACCAGAGCTACTCATTGTGAGCACCGTGGAGCATCCCTCGTCTTCAGAGGAAGACGATTCTGTACATTGTGTATTTATACCCCCCGTGTGACAGTTTATATATTTATTTATGGTGGTGGTGTATATATATATAAAGCAGTGCATTTGTATCCCTTCCCCTTTAATTTAACTTGCGTTACGGAACTCACCCCTTGAAAGCCACTACTAACTTGGGGCCGGATACCCAAACTCTAATAACATCAGAGAAGAACCCGGTTGCGACCCAATAGGGCCGTAACAGCCCTCCTTATACCAACTACTGACCTCCCACAGGCTATAACCCAAAATAGTTGGCCAACTCCTAGGTTGGGACAATGTCATAGGGTAATCGAGCACAGGATTTTTCTGTTGTCAGCAGACTACGCTGACCACTGTGCTACGGATATTTATAAAATCTTCAGAACTTCAGTTAAGAAGTTGTTGTCTGGTACAATTTTCCATTATACTCACGTGAATCCTTTCTTGTGCAGCTCGCGACCGACAGCGCCGGTACCTGTGGAATATATTCCACTCAGTTAATAAATAGTAAAATAATAGGTCTTTGGCATAAGATTATATATATATATATATATATATATATATATATATATATATATATATATATATATATATATATATATATATATATATATATATATAATTTATTTATATATATATATTACTAGCTGTACCCGCTACGCGTTGCTGTGGCTCAGTCTGGTTGAATGGAAAAGAAAGAAAAGAGAAAGTGCATGTTTCTTATATGTTTATTTTCACAATGCTTGTGGGTTTTCAATATTTCTTGTTGTTCAATTGTCTGTCGAGATATAGAGACTGTCTGGTTTGCCGACTCTAGAACACGCAACATATAATTGTCCCTGTTAAAAGCATTCCGTTTCGTGATATAAACTGCACAATTCTAAGGATTGGCCCTGAGCTTCTTTGATGGTGATTGCAAACGCCAATCGAATTGGAAATTGCAATATCTTTAATTGAAATGGCATCTCTGTTGGAATCATAGAAATGCGATGAATGGGGACATCTTCACCTTTGGAAGGACCTGTCAAGATTGTTGCTTCTGCGACGTTGCTGATTATTTTTATTACTGCAAGGCTCGTGGCGTTGCATAGCTTTAGCTGATTGATATTTCACAACATGATAATTTGAACGCAGATTTTCAATTGCCGTACGTTTGATGGTATCCCTGACAGATCAAGTGAATTAAAAAATTCTGTTGGATAACTAACAACTTCATCTGCTTCCTCAACAGTGTCGACTGTCTTATATCGAGGAATTACAGGCAAGTTTGCCTGAAATCTCCTGCAAGCAATATTAATGTGTTCCCAAATGGTCTGATGTTTCCACGCAAATCTTTCAATGATCGATCAGGAGCCTCGAGCGATTTTTGTGGGCCATTGTGCATTCATCCTAAACAATAAGTTTACATTTCTGCACGACTTTTCCCATGCCGAATGCTTTGGAAATGTTGCACGTGGGAGTTTCAATGAATTGCATGGTCAATGGCAATTTCAAAGCCGAAGTAGCAGTGTTTCCACCTGGTAACAATGTCGCAGCTATTCCAGACGATGCAACAGCTAAGGTTATGCCATTTTGGGATCGAAATGCTGTCAGAATCAATCTAATTAGGAAGGTTTTACAGTTCCTCCTGGCGTATCTAAGAAGATTTCTCCAAACCCGTTATTGATAGTTTGAATTATTTGATTGTGAATGCCTTTTCGCTCAAGCGTTAGCTCAGGAATGTTTGATTGCACCTACAACAACAGATCAGCTGTGTTGTAATTTTGTTCACGACGCAATTCTACATTGAACGAAGCAGCAGCAGATCGATTCGGTAATGGCATTTACAATTGATTTAGAACTTTGTTAACGATTTCTAACCACAAAGCTTCAATCATTATCAACGCTTCGTTGTATTTTTCTGCTGTGAAATGCATGTTCATATATGAATTTTCCTTCGTATTCGACGGACAATATCTTCAGCCATGTGCGATTTATATTTCTCCCATAACTCTTTTTGGAGATGGAGAGACGGTGGTCAATATGATTGCAAACAACGCACGAATTTGATTTGGATGTGACGTGTTGGACGAGTCATTAATGCATACATCCTAGTGTCGATGGTTCTTTAATAAATTCAGAGCTTGACATGCACTACGGAAGGTGGCATTTGTAACGCCGTTGACAAATCTCAATGGCTACAAAGACGTTGGACCGGGCAAATTTACCAACAGCATGCGAAGAAAGAAGCATTCATCTTGATTTGGATGCACAGTGTACAGTCTGCCTATCGTAGTTTATCTGAATATGCCAGGTTGTTCATCGACTTGCTCTCCTCGTTTGCGTCGTTCAAATTATTTTCTACTGGCATTCCATGTGTAATACGTAGGCACTTCCGAATACAGCAGTGTTACCGCAAACGCTTCATTATGAAAACGTGAAGAAAGTAGTTTACGATGTAGCCGGTGGATTCATAGCTGTTTGTTGCACATTTGCAGCTGTGAAATAAACGTGTTGTCCATTTTCTTGTTTTCAAAACAAAAACAAAAAAATACTAACGAAATATTTCAATTCAAACGCAGATCAATCGACGCAGCTCAATTTCACCACCAATTGTACTGAAAAAAAACAGTTAAAAAATAACATGAAAAGCATTAAAAAAAAGAAACATATAAGCTATTCCAACGAAATGAACGGTACAGTTAACATCACAGCTCAATTCCAATGCAACGTCACACAAATAATTAAAACAAAATGGAAATAAATCCAAATTTATGAAAATTCCATTTGTCAATGCAATCGGAAACATTGAAAAGGAATTGTAACATATTTTGTATATCGTGTATTGCTCATCCGTTGCACCATCCGTGCAACGGATGGTGCTGTTTTTAAAAAAACGCATGTTTTTACCTGTCACAGATGTGTCATCTAAATAGTAGGTATATAAAAACATGCACGAATTCGAATGGAACGTTGTGTCAAAATTTCAAAGCAAACGGTGAAGAACTTTCGGATATTACAGCGTGTATTCCTCTTACGGCCTACAGATGGCGCTGTTTTTTTTTAAACATGTTTTTTTCCTGTCACAGGTCAGGCATGTATATAGTAGATATATAAAAACACTTGCATATTCGAATGCAATGTTGTGTCAAAATTCCAAACCAATCGGTAAAGAGGTTTCGAAGGTTTCCCTCACATGAAAAACACTCATAAATCACAGCTTTTCGAAGAACGCATGTTTTTTTCCCATCACAGACGTAACAACGTGAAGAAATAGTATGTATATAAAAGTCCGCTCGGATTTTATATATAGTATATGTAAAAATCCTCTCGGATGCGAATGGAACGTTGAAGTGATTTAGTTGAAGAAAAGAAGTGATTTACTATAGAGTGTATTACACTTATTTGTATAATTTGCACAACGTTTCGAACCTCCATGGTTCATTCTCAAGTGAACAGATCTTACAATACTAGTTGATTTTATACCCGCACTGGGTCAGGTGATAATACAATAAAGGTGAAGACATGGGGGGATACTTAAGGGATAAATGTGAGGTGAAACATAGGGGTAACTGCAGAAGGCTTATTGGCCCATACGAGGCAGCTCCTATCTAAACACAAAGATTAATCCAGTGTAATTGGCCTATTAAGTTGGACATTGTCTTCTGTGTTGGCATCGATATGTTCTTGTCTTGTCCTTACTCTCATGGTGGGTAGAGTAAATAGTTCCGTGATTTGGGTGTTCATGGTAAGTCGCTCTATTCTTATGTGAATTGCCTCAAGAATTTGTAATCTTCTTGCATCTTGGGTTTTGTCTATTATGCAGGTATTCTTGTTCAACATTTCTCTTGTTAGAGTAATGTCATGGGCTTGTCTCATGTGATTCCTAGGGGCACCGGATTGAAGATGGCATGTCAAACGCCTCGTCAGCTTGGTCGACGTCATACCTATGTACTTACATTGAAGATTACATCCTTCGTGGGGGCAAGTGTACATGTATACAACGCTTGACTGCTGTAGAGGGTTCTCCGTCGGCTTCGGGCTGTTTTTGATAAGGAGTTCGGAAGTCTTCTTGGTTTTGTAGAATATTATCAGGTTTATGTTTTGGTTAGGAGTAGTGCTTTTTACTCTTTTACGGATTATTTCTTTCATTATTCTTTCCTCTTTTATATGTTCACTGTGCATGGTAGATTTGTAATATCATTTTATTGGAGGTGTTGTGGTTTCTGTTCTAGGTTCTGGATTATACCAACGGTCCAAGTGTCTTCTTATAGCAGCGTTTATTTCCGCGTTGTTATATCCGTTGTTCACCAAATACCTGACTACAAATTCATCTACAATCTTAACCCCACGACTCAAAGAAGCAGCGAAACAACTAAAAAATCTGAAAGACGTAACAATAAGAAAAGCCGACAAAACAGCAGCATATGTATTGATTCCTACCCATGAATACATGAACAAAATTAGCGACATCCTTAGTGACGACTCCAAATTTCAACGAATCACGAGGAACCCCGTAGAAGACCTTAAGCGGAAAGTAAACAAAACAATTACAGCAATCAACGCAAAGAAAGGTAGTGTGCATTTCAATAAACTTCAAGGCGACTATGGCTTAGGATATGCCTACGGCAATGTTAAGACGCAAAACCAGGTAACCCACTACGCCCTATAATCAGCCAAATACCAACCCCAACTTATCACCTGGCAAGGAAACTCAATGAACTCCTAACTCCACACACTCCAAGTAAGTTTAGTCTACAAACATCAGCAGATTTCCTAGAATTGATCAAATCTACCCAGCCCGATGGAATCATCGCTTCCCTGGACGTTGAATCCCTATTTACCAACGTCCCAGTCGACACAACCATAGGAATGATACTGGACAGAGTATACAGAGACGAGAGCACCCCCAAATTAGACATACCTGAGCCACACTTGAAGAGTTTTCTCGAAGCATGTACAAAGGAAGCCCCTTTCATCAGTCCACAAGGAGACATGTATTTACAAATAGAAGGAGTAGCAATGGGCTCCCCCTTAGGAGTTTTATTTGCTCATTTTTATATGGGAACCATCGAAGACAAGGTCTTCAGTAGCAGACAAAAACCAACTGTATACTGCCGTTATGTAGATGACATATTCGTAATAGTAAAAGACTCAGATGAACTAATTGACCTAAAAAGACACCTAGAGAGAGAGTCAGTACTCCGATTTACACATGAAAATAGTGAAAATAAGTCTGCCATTCCTGGATGTACTAATAACAAAAACAGGAACCTCTTTAAGCACCAAGGGAGCTTTAAGGGAGCCGGTCGGCCAAGCGGACAGCACGCTGGACTTGTGATCCTGTGGTCCCGGGTTCGATCCCGGGCACCGGCGAGAAACAATGGGCAGAGTTTCTTTCACCCTATGCCCCTGTTACCTAGCAGTAAAATAGGTACCTGGGTGTTAGTCAGCTGTCACGGGCTGCTTCCTGGGGGTGGAGGCCTGGTCGAGGAC